CTCACTTCCTCATGTCTCTATTCAATCCAAATTGGCAAAATCGTTCTGCTATGAGCTTGATGGTTACTAGAACATCAGCATGAGGAAGCTTGTGCAGTGTATCCAGAACTTGGCGTTGATAATGTTTCGGCACGATTGGACGATCTCTTCATGTAGGTGTGTCTCATAGTAAGGTTTCCTTACCTCTTCCCATCTGTTTAATACTCAGTTTAAGGGTTGATGAAGATCTTTCAAGCCGAACACCAGAGTCTTCTTTTTGAAGCCGAGCGGGTTTAAGAAGGTCGTTTCCTTGGGAACTCTCTAAGGATGTTATAGCAGACGAAGTCTGCTACAACATTGTTTACCCCAGAAATGAGTTCTAGATCTGAAACAAACTGCGAAATGTGGTCCAGTTGTCGAGACTATCGAGGAGAGTATGTGGTGGCATTGGACTCTAACCACACAATCCTCAAAACTGAACACGAAATAACTGGAAAAAATATGTATTCAACATTTGACGTGGACAGAAGACCTACAATGGAGAATGCAGGAAGCAGTGATTAATTCAATTTATCTGATGGCTCAGCCTCGCTTGCATGGCCATTCTTGTGTACCTTATCTCTTACACTCATATTAAACGTATTGTTTTATCTCCCGTCCAAATGTGTTCTCAATCATACTTTGGTAATTGTTACAGAAAACGATGTGACTTCCGCGTAAGGTCTTATAGATTAGACAGTTACATCACAACTAGTCTACAATTTTAAAAATATGTCTACTATTAGAGCAGTGCTAATAATGAAGTAGATCCTAGTTCTACAAGTATTTTTCTGAAGATCATAAAGAGAAGGTAAGAGATTTGTGATCGGTGAAAGCAGTGAATACTCTGCCTTCAACAGAGTGTTGAAAGTATCGTACAGTAGAATCCATAGCTCGGAATTCCCTACCGAATGTGCTCCCCAGACTCAATGTTTAGCAGCCTTCTCGAGAAGAATGCCAAGGGTTACCAGGTGTGGTTGACCTATTTTTTAAGACCTCGTGGATTGCTCAATGTGATGCGTCTACTGTGACAGTAATGGGCGCTTCAGTGTCCTGGAGCGAGAGCAGTGCTAGTTTAGCGATAATTTCATAACTGTAAATAATTTTTTTGTGATATCGTCCAAATTGATGGATTTCGCAATCCCACGAAACTGGTTGGTTGAAAATCCCATAAGAGACGCACGATGCGGTATAGGCCGTCTATTGAAACTTATGTGGCCATTAAACGCGCGTAATTGCCCAATGGTGGTCGGTTCTGAGTAATCCAGAATGGCCGCCACATTGCTTCCGAGGAATCGAATGCCTTGAGCATCAACAGTGTGTCCGGAGAAATCTATGGAGTCAGTTCCGATTTGACATTTCTGAATGTTGACAATAATGCTGTGCTTTTGTAGTCGTTCGAAAACAAGGTTCAGATGCTGGAGATGAGATCCTCTGTCTAGACTTTTAATGAAGCAGTCATCAACATAGCATGTACGAAGTTGAAACCTTGAAAAATGTCATCGATTATTCACTGAAAAGTTTGTGCAGCATTTCCAAAGCCAAAAGACATGCATGCAAAACCGTATGGTGCGATGATAGTGGTTTTAGGAACGTCGTCAGCATGCTTTAATCAAGTTGATTTTCGGAAAAACAGTTCTACTTTTCAAGTTAGCTGACAAACCGTGAGTATGAGGTAACAGGTATAGTTTTCGTATTCAATAGCGAATGGTTACCAGTCGTTGCTGTCCTCTAAATAGGGAGAGGCCCATGGACTTGTTGATGGCCGAATGATTCTTAAGTCTATTATATGGTCGAATAAGTTCTAAGCCAACCCCAATTTTTCGGGAGGCTGCCGGCGTGCTTTCGAGAATATAGACGGTTCTCCAGTCGTGACGTGATGTATAATATTGCTGGTTACACATGGCAATATTGGTTGCGTTCGATACGTCTCACGGTATTTATCTAGTATTTGTTGTTAGCATGGATCGATCATGTATTTAACTGTGACTAGTGATAATTTACGACCGGGTAAAAAATTACACGAACTATTGATTTTGTACTTCCATCTACTACCCTCCGTTTGTTTGTGTAGATGAGCGAATTATGATGTTGTAGACAGATCTATACCAATGATTGGCATAGAAACATCTGCAACAACGAAGATACAGTGGATGAGCTTGCGTAAATTCATGTTAAGGTGTATATATTGCATACCATATATGGAAATCGGTTTTCGATTTGTCCCCTGTAAGTTGAAAACTGCTCCACGAAGTCTGTCGCTGGAGTAACCTTGACTTCTGCGCCAATGTAGTGAAATTTCATAATCACATCATAGATGTATAACAGACGGCTACGTTAGCCAGTTAAGGTTGCCGTTAACACACGCCGGCTGGAACGTTTTCCGAAATGGTTTTTGTATCAGTCGCTGTTCCGCGATTTCGAGATTTTCCATGCTGAATTTGATGCCAGCTCCAATCAGAGTTATCCATCTCTCGTGATCTAGAGACAGATCGTTTTCGTGAAGTACTTTTTCAGGGAGTCTGGGACCGTCTAAGGTCACGATGAATACTATGGTAACATGTCACATTATGACAGAGTTAGATGACGTCGTTTGATGTTTTACTTTTAATTAATAAACCTCGCATTAGAAGTTTTGGTGATCTCAAGAATGCAGTCGGTAGTTGCAGGCAGCTCATCTAAAGCGTTGTTTCAAAGAGACAAGCACTGCATGCACCTGTTAAGGAATGTTAGACACGAAAAGTTGCCTAAACAGGCCATTGTCGAAGGTTTGTCGGCTACTGAACTCTCTCATTCGTACAATGTCTGTTGCTGATCCATGTTGTAGATCGATGTTATCGAGGAGATGACCGGTTAAAATCTGCGTGTAGGAGTAGAACTTTTTAGAGTTTTATAATGTTCCGAAGCACCACTAGTGAACATACCAGGTGTGACGTAATTGTTGGATTCGCACGATAATCTCTTCAATACAGTGGGGAAATTTGCACGTGAATCGATCGCGCCGTGCTCGTAGAAATCAACTTCTGCGTAGCAGAACGAGGCTTCGATGTTGTTGGGCTAGAATGACGTTAGCAAGAATGAGGGCAGCGTAAGAGACATGACCTAAAGTAACTTAAGAGTCTGTCCGGTCACAAAGTAAAGGGAGGTAAAATATCCGAATGAGTATGTAGTAATTGCGAACTCAGTGTGGGAAGTTGCATGATATCCATCATAAACTAATCTGAGAAGCTGATGAGTTGTCACGGTTCACGATGTATATTAGAACGATATGTGCACTGTACGACCGCATAGCACAATTGATAGTGGGCTCTATATACTGATAAAACATGTTTTATAACAGTATGTATACAAACCAATGTTTTTTTTGGCAAAAGCCAAGTAGCTTTGGCAGGTTCAGTACTCAAACAAGGTTAGTTACTAGTCGAAATGCACCACAACCACTCCGGTTGGTGAGCCTATAATTAGGGGACGGCCTTTAAGAGACGCTAAATGAAACCAGGTATTTTAACCACTTGAAATGCCGTTGGAGATATCTCTAGAGCATGCCGTTCCTTGAATAACAACTTAAGCCCGCCTCATGTTTTTAAGTTTGTGTACATGATGTACCTTAAGTGGCAGGATCATCCATCTCATTACTTATAGGTAGCTTGAAAGTCCGGATACCTCTACCGAATGTGACAAAATATGAAGCAAGTGGACTGAAACGTCACAACCCATTCCCGCTAGCTTATAATAAGTTGCTGATTTACTGTATAATGAGCGGGAATATTGACGTGCTTTGTCTTACTTACAGTTGTAACCGGTTCGAAACCTAACATCAAATGCCCAACATTTGAAGTTTTGTCGTTGTGATCGAGTCTCGGATAATGGGGACTTTTACCAGAATACATAGTATCAACACTTGTTAATTAATCATAATTATTTGTGCACTTTATTCAGTAGCCCAATATGCTCTCTCGCCCACTCTTGTATTCTCGCTCGAGAAGTCAGATGAGGGATGAGTGCATAGCACATCGTTTATCAGCATCAGATTACGGACAGTGCCCGTTATAACAACACCAGGTTTTCACAATTGATTGATCACTGGGTGGTGATCAATGTCATGCTTGTCTAGTCCTTATTAGTGCAGATCGAATGCTATCGATCATGTTGCAATGTGGCCACCAGTCTAGGTGACTCGACACTGCGGGCACTATGTATTGAGATTAGATGGTGGTTGGAGGTAGTCAACAGGAAACCCTGGACCCGGGTTTCGTGCTACTTGGCACTCGTCAGCAAGGTGTACCTGTAATCTTGAGGGAACTGGTGCTCCCTGGCGGATTCGATCTCGTGTCACCCAGCTTCACAGTCAGAGACGTTACCACTGAGCTATCCGAGCCGTGACTAACCTCCTGTAGGACTGAGATGTAATCACAATTGATTGATCACTGGGTGGTGATCAATCTCATGCTTGTCTAGTCCTTATTAGTGCAGATCGAATGCTATCGATCATGTTGCAATGTGGCCACCAGTCTAGGTGACTGGACACTGCGGGCACCACCATCTAATCTCATTACATAGTGCCCGCAGTGTCCAGTCACCTAGACTGGTGGCCACATTGCAACATGATCGATAGCATTCGATCTGCACTAATAAGGACTAGACAAGCATGACATTGATCACCACCCAGTGATCAATCAATTATGATTACATCTCAGTCCTACAGGAGGTTAGTCACGGCTCGGATAGCTCAGTGGTAACGTCTCTGACTGTGAAGCTGGGTGACACGAGATCGAATCCGCCAGGGAGCACCAGTTCCCTCAAGATTACAGGTACACCTTGCTGACGAGTGCCAAGTAGCACGAAACCCGGGTCCAGGGTTTCCTGTTGACTACCTCCAACCACCATCTAATCTCAACACCAGGTTTTCTCTACAACTTACCTTGCTAATTTTATCATCTTGCAGTAGTGACGAAACCTACGTGCTTTGGAAAATGTATGGTAGCGTCGGATTTTGCAATCCAATTGATTATGATTACTATCAAGCCTGATTCACACAGTGAATGCTCCACTTCAAAGTGGAACAATAACAATTAAAATGAAACTGACTGATACTAGTATACTGTCAGTTTTTCATTTTGAATAAACACGAAACACCATGTACAAAATAGATTTAGAAGTTACAGAAAAAGAACTAACAGAAATAACTTTTTTTCTGAAGGGGGTAGTATAACCAGTAAGAATTAAACAGTCAATTATTCAATCACTGTTAACCTAAGAAGAGAGCCGAGAATAAATGGCAAAAAGGAAAATCATAGATGCTAAATTGTATCTCCTATCTTTTACTCATTACACAGGAATGTAAGTCATAAAAACAGAAATCACGCTTTGTTTACAAACAAATTCATAGGAAGATTTACATGTATAGTTTAAATATTTAGCCCAAATAAATATAGACTACACATTGACATCAAACTAACTCATAAAGAAACATTAGCATTAAATCGTTTTAATATGAATAAAAATCAGCAATTCAAATCTATACAATACCGAAAGTATCTGGACGATGCTTTGTTTTTCTCGCTTAGAATTCATTCAAATGACTAAGCGTTAAGCATCAATGAAAATGTGCATAGAAGCTCTGGCAAACAAAAATAAGAAAAAAACAAATATAAAAATGCAGAATAGTATATAGTGCTACAACATTGAAATGAATTACTTTTATCGCAGAAACAAGAAGTATTAACAAGATGAATGGAGAATAACAGTACTACAATTAAAATATAGTAACCACAGAGTACTACGGGACATCCCAGTAGTGCGGATCTATGACCTAAAGTCACTAAGTCTAGCTGGGAACGCTTAATCTTATGAACACTGGAGCGAGATAAGGACAAGAAGTTTAAGAAGTAGACCATAGTGAAAACAAGCGCGTGAACTGATTTGCCATTATTTTCAAAGTATCAACGAATTCTTGCAGTACGTTTATTAAACATGATGAAATTATTTTATAAGCTAAAATCGCTTTACTATGTAATACATATATATAAAGATATGAGATGGTCAAGATATGAGTATAATCCACACCTAAACATATTACATATATAATTTCAAACAATATAAGAATAAAAACTAATAGTACTTACTCTGACAAACAGTTGAAAATCTTTTAAACTTGATTTTAATGCACTTGTGTAAGATTGAATTAATTCTGGAGATAATTGTTGTCGTGGCAGAAAGTAATCTTTTAAATATGTGTACAATCCATCCTACATAAATTACAGAACAGAATGATCAAATTAGTTTGATCTGATTGATTATCGGATCAAAAACGACAAGTGAAGAATAGGAAATGAATTTCATTTCGGAGCTTGAAAATTTTTCTGACATTAAATAAATAAACATAACACTAGTGCAATGCAATTCAAAATTCATAATTAAGTTCATTTCAAGAGCTGATAGGCTGGTATAGTGATTTCATGCTATAGTGTTGATGTAAGATGCATCACACTAGACAAGAATAGTGAATTGACTGATGATGCTGAGTTCAACTACCGCGTACTCCGACGTGAAATTTTGACAAGTGTGGGAGTAGGTTTAGAGAAAGCAAGAGGAAACTAGACCGACACAAGATCAATCCAATTTGAACTGATATACATATATGTCCTATATTTTACTTCGTTTAAAATTGACCGAGATTTTAGGTTAGACAGACTTCACCTACTTCGGATTAGTCACACAGGTAATAATATCATCAATTCTCATAAAGGATAAATATATACAAAAACATGTACTTGGTAAGCGGATCGAAGAAATATAGATTGTTATGCAAAAAGTTAATAAATGCAAACAAGTATCACACAACATTTTGCAGTCGGAGCATTCGATAAAAAACTGCAAGTATATGATTTCATCTATTTTTATATCAACAGAAGAAATATAGTAAAACAAAAGAATAAGATATTGTATCTAAGTAAACGCTTATACAGTTTGTAGATAGTGTTGTCATTCCATGGTTCGTTATGAAAATAAATGTCATGAGTTCACTTGCAAAATATTAGGTTTTAAATAACACTCAATCGGTTATACACAACGTAAAACCTGGTATATGTATGCATCCGTGTAAGCTGCCACGACCCACTAGCATAGCGAAATGAAATCGCTAGGGCAAATTACAGAGTAGTAGAAATAGTGGTACAATTAGTGGTGGTGGAAAGAATTAGACGTAAAAGATATGATTTTTAAAAAAATAGATTGGTAGTTCTAGGTAAAAATAAAGAATGAATGAGTCTACATCACTGTGGATGATTCTTAGCCACGTCATTCCAAGTATCTCCGGCAATCGGGTGGACCCCCATCGGATAGTCTGTGTCTACATTTACAGCTCGACCCAACAGTCGATAAATACATGAACTGATATTACGTTTTGGTTGTGCAAAACCTAGCTTTCTTTTAACCTACTCCTACACCAGTGACCACTGAGCGACAAGATACTGTCACTTTCTTGTATATAAAATATCATGTGCAACCTCTGAGTGATCTTTGCAGTCTAGTATTCACAAACTTTACAATAGGTGGGAACTTAATAACTGTACAAAACATCTTATTTTGAATAAGTATAATTAGAAATCTTGTAATGATATTCCAGAAAACACTTATCAAATTAAGAACACTATACATCAACATAGTATTCAACTTCTGAAATTCTATGCAAATCTGAAAGCAGTTAACTTTTTAAACAGGCAAACAACAAAATTAATTAGAACACTTATTTCAGTAGTGAAACAAGATTGTCACTATAAAAAAAGAAAGAAAACTAACTTGTTTTTGATACAAAGCATGAAGACTTTCAGCAATTTTATCCAAAGCCAATATGAACTGACCATCAGTCAAACGAAAGACAGGAGATATTGGACCAAGTATAAAAAATGGAACAAGATGTGGCAACAAAAAATCTTCATAAAATTGTAAATTATGAGCAGCTGATTGTATAAGTTGTAAAAATAATATTACGCCTGAACGTAATCCAGTTGGATCATCAGACTCTAAGCAAGCTTGAACTTGTCCAAGTACTGTAGAAAGATTCTAAAATGTTAAATACAAATGGTACATATAGAGTACAGAAAATCTTTAAAAAAATTATGATAAATGTAGTGGAATATTGAAGAGGTGTGTGTGTTTCTACATGCATAGATGTCGAGCGTGAAATAGGTGAATTACTGATTATCGTACGAACTATACATGAGACAAGTATCTTCTATCACAATTATAGAAAATGTACTAAAAGGTGATTTTCAACACTACATTAACAAGGTTGTTTTCATGGTTAAGGCTTGACAATGTAGCTGACATATGTGAATATAATGAATGTAATGACTAAAAAGTGAAGAGGAGCTCCTAAATATTTTAATAATAAAATGGTTGATTGTATTTCAGATTTCCATATTTATGTTTGTTGTATATTGTCAGTCAATCAAATGTAATCGACGTAGAATCCAAATGTGAGCAGAATTTATTACATATATATACCAAAGGAGTTGAAATAATAATATTATCAATGAGTGAGAAAAAATATTGACTGAACAATACGATTCAAAAAGGAACCATGAGGTTTATGTGAAGGAATATTTGAATCCAAGATCTACAGTATGATAAAGAATGAATGTCTTTACACCACTATAACCGATTATGGTCAATGTCATTCATCTTCTGGAATCATGTGAACTCCAAGCAGATAGTCTGTACCTATTAACGTAGGGCTCGGTTTAAGTCACTGACCTGATGAACCGATACCATATCATTTTTGGGAGTCTTAAGTCTATTTAGAGTATTGCAAATTTGTTCATATTCTGGTATACGAAATTCATCAGTGGTTAGTGCATTTATAAGTCTACTATACTTAATAATCGACTACGGGGTCCTAGACTGGACCATGAATCATAATTAATCTAGAAAAACTAAATTACGTAAAATAGATGACGGACTACAACACAGTTCAAAGTTATCATTCCATGTCACAACCCAAAGTAATGACTTAACAAAATAATCCATGATACAGAATGGATAATAATCATTATATACTATGGTTTATAAACAGAACAACCAACTTGTACAATATTTTCACTAATAAGTTGTGAAAATACATCAGGAACTGATTGATATATAGTTTGAACTAATTGAAGATATCCGCGGCGTAGTAATTTTTTTTCTTCAATTAATGTTGGATGATTCGGTGGTAATGATTCATTTAACGCATTAATGATAACTTCCATTAAATGCGGTAGACAAGTTGATAAAAATGGAATACTTTGGTTCTATAGAATAAAAAGAAAAAAGCATCGAAATATAAGAGATATTGAAGCGCATAAAATAGACAAATTACACTTACATATGCCCAGTGTATAAAAACACATGAAGTCAAGTTTACAACCAAATATCCACATGACACTGGTCAATATTTTGTGTCATTAAGTTCTTTAAATGAGATGGATGGTTTAATTGAGTTGTTAATATCGTTTTGGACGATATCACCAGAGTTTACTTCATTTAGAAGTGAGCATCTTAGTTACTCCACAAGCGTTTACTTAGTTTATGCTAGTGAGATAACTATACTACTCATTTCTACATAAAGTAAGCGCTGATGATGTTGCCTAGAACGATAATGAAAGGTTCGCGATTAGGCTAAGAAGCTCAGAAAACTTAACAGCACAAAAAGCACTCACTTGAACTGCAAATCTTCTTCGCTGGTTAATTTAATCGATCTCAATAACTATTTTTGATCAATACACGGTACGGAGAAGAATTCTATCTACGCTACGACAAATTACTAACGAACAAACTCAGTTTCATTTAGAAAACGCTTATTACGTAAAATTTTACATATTTTATTGGTTAAACCATTTATAAAATAAGTTATCCGTAAGGTTACTACGGAACTTTTTTAGTATTATACTAATAACGAATTTTTGAGAACTTTATGGCCATCAATCTATCGAATCCTAGGATGTGGAATCGTTTAACGTATAGCAGGAACAGTAAACCTGAGGAATTAGACAACTTTAAAATCAATATAGAGGCAATATTAACTACACCTTAACTGATCAACGAATCTTAACATGCACCGATAGCTGATTAAACACTGTATAATTTGAAGACATCAATTATTATTGCCGAGTTCGAGATTGAAGAATGTTGAGAAAAATAATAGGTTATCAAAAACACTGTATGCAAACTCACAGTCGTGTTGGGAGCTTATGACGAATCCTCATTAGAAGTTATGCCAATAATTAGAGTTCTTACAATCACTATTGCTAAACTAAATTTGATTTTGAATGCAGTAACAAAAACAATAAGGTAAATTTTAATGGAAAGCTATGACTTGTAGAAAACCCAAAACTAGTAAGATCAAGATGAGACACCTATCACGCAATCAAGTAATTAAGGGATTTACGTCACTGCTAATAAAAATATGGAGCACAATATCATAGTTTAACTAGTCCTACTTCATAAGTGTAGTAATTTATTGCTGAAGAAATATGTTCTTCAACGAACCCTTACGCTTATTAACTTAATACGTATACATAGCCTTCCATCGTCTATTTTTTTCTTCCAGTGTGTTCTGCAGTATGAACTGTCTTTATGACTGCCAACACTGTGCTTTCGATGTACTGAAACTCATCCCTCTGTCGGACAATTGCTTCAACTTCGACACCATGTTTCGCTACACACTATAAACATTATAATGAGCAGCGTCCAATACAATAGTACTCAGTGGCAAAATTATGTAGTAAAATATGCTACATGGCTAGTGTTCCTTAATAGCGGGATACTAAAACATACTACAAATTCTAACAAAAATAGCACTGATGTTGTTCCCATATAGAAGTATTTAATCATTCCATCTAAACCCGCATATATTTTAAAATAATATAAATCTAGAAAAGAAACAATACAAATTAGTGATTACATGACTATTTCTATTCAAAAGATAATAGATCACAATGATAAACAGTTAGGTCGAAAACCGTAGCGTCGTTTTTTGGGAGTATACAAAATAACAGGCAAACAACAACTTAAAGTATCGTTTACTCAATATAGAGGTGAATATCTTAGGGAAATAAAAACATAATACGCAAGCATTAATTTTATACAGTAGTCAACAGGCTTCTCAAAGTTTGGTGCCTATAGTTATTATATAACATGCAAACAATAGGTCTGATGAGTGTCACATCTAAATTTTATTAAGGTTACTACTTACAAAATTTGTCTATGCTTTAAACTAAGTTTATCTTTGCGGTGAATATTTTTATGTACAAAATCTGTAATTCTATAGTGGTAAAAGGGACATCTATTCTGTTAATCAGTTTATTTGAAGGTTTGTGTCAAGAATCCAGTATAGTGACTAATTTATCAGCATTATATCAATGTACATCTATCGACCAGGATTCTGTGTATCATGACAGTAATTAAAATGTGTTCACAACATACTGAAAATTTCCTTAAAAATAAGTGTCAACAGTGAAAAAAATCGATTGTTTAAAATGTGAATTAAATTGGACCAAAGTGTAAATCAAGTTAGAACACATTAGAATATATCAAAACAAAATGTTCTCAATGTACCATAATCTAAGCAATGCCTACAAAATCCAGTATTATTTATTTTAACACATAGATATTGGTACAATGAGGCACCAAACACATATGCGCCACATAAATCATTCGATTTGTGTGAGGGCTGTGATACTACCCGGGTGCCCAAACCGAAACAGGTGGTTCTCTTAGGGGACCACACCCCGAGCCTTTGACCTTAAGGTCTGACCCACAAGGCAGTGGAGCATCGTGAGGAGATGCAGTCCCATGGAAGCCGGTGACCAACAATCAGTCCATACTCCCTTTGTCCCTGCAGGATACTGCAGCCCATGTGCAACAACGGTTCAGAAACCGGTTAAAGCGCCGGACATTCGCTTCTCGTCCACGCATTTTCGTAAACAACACCCCCGCCACGAGAAGGTAGTGAGTAGAACTTCCCTGGCAGAGGCTGTATACGCGTGGCCGTGTGAGAGCATTTCGAGAGGGAGGGCGGGCCCACACCACTCTCGGCCATACCAGTACTATTCAGAGAAAAAAAGGCAGAAAAATTGAACGCCTTTGTTCATGTAATAATGAAGCAAAGGTGGATTGTCATTAGCAGTGAAATCTACGATTTATAATTTGCTCCATTTGGAACTTATCATCTGGATATACCTAAATCCCGATGTTTGTGATCATACTGAGATTTGAACTTAACACTTATCGCTTTATAAACGTAGATTTAGCCACAATGGAACTTACTTAATACCTGTAACTAAGTAGCAATATCGAAGCAATTCATTCAGAATTGATATATGCCAAAATAGATTGACCAACCGTAGGCTTTAACATCAATAACAGAGAAACAAAAATCCCCTTACAATCAGAAGTTATAAACAATGATACAACAAAATCATTGGTAATAGTGCAAATTCAATCAAAATTGAGTTTACAAATTCGTTTACAATAACATATTATAGTGTGTTTAGATTAATAAAATATACTAGTTGTTCTATAATAGTAGTTGCAAAACCACGGAAATAACTCAAATTTTAGAATTAATGTTTACAATTAATTAGACTTATAGTTAGTTTTACCGACCATCTATTTAGTAGAATCACGACACAGATCATTACGAAACATGATATTTGTATACGGTTAGTCAGTTGAAAAACTGGTAAAGAATGAGACAATATAATTGAAAAAAAAACACTCATAGCATGTTAATCAAAAGAGAAATTGAAAAATGTTTGCAAAACAATTGTGACTAGTTTATACCTTATATCTCAGTACTACTTGTGTAACAAGAGGGATTACATCTCTGATTTCTTTCCAACGTTGTTCGGCGTCGACTATATCTAACACTTGATTGGCAGTAGTATAACAAGCGACTGTAGACTGTAACGGTCTTACCAACTTGGGAACAGCGTCTACAAGCGCAACCAATAAAATATCCGATGTCAAAGTACTTCTGCATCCAATCGAGTTAGATTCATTTGTTGGTACAATACAAGCAACCATTCGATGCAAGAATGCACGAACACCGGCGCATGCAGCTTGTCGACCGGGACTAGCAGCTTCTGTAGGGAAACGCGACAATTCTGAAATTATGAGGTGCATTGCATCAATTAACACAGCTTCACATCCAGAGGTTATAACAGACTTTGGTTGAGAAAATACTCGAGTCGTTTTTCTAAACAATAAATTAACATAAATGAAACAGGAACAAATAATAACAAATAAATAAACATGAAAAGGAATATAAGTGATATACTTTAGTGATTATCTGTTTCTTAGCTTCGTTGGTGAAATATTTGCCTAAATATTTTCAGATGAAATAAACCATGTAATTGATTAAGAAATAACATAATTGTAAATTAATCGTAATGATATATTATAATATCTGTTTTACAATATTGTGTAGATCGATCAATTAGGGAATAACCTTCACGAACTGACACAAGTTTCAATAACATAAAGGCGTATATAAGACTGGTTAGTGGATTAATGATCTACTAAACGTATGGATGTCGGTGAAATTTACAGTAGAATTTAGTAATTTAATTTGTATTTGTAATTTACTATGATTAGGGTTAGCGACTGTAATTGACTGTAAACCACCGAAAATAAAGGATACGTTTCAATGAAATTTTTATGGATTTCAACAAAAGAATAGGAAATTAGAATGCAATTGTAAAGTGCGAACTTAATGCTCAATTAGGTAAACTAAAACATTTGGAAGGAACTCCCAACGTTTCAGTTCAGCAAGCAAAGAGTGGTAAACACCTATTGTAACCATGCCCATGAAACTACTTATTCTTAACAAAAACCAAATTTAAGCAGAAAAAGAGATATTATTTAGTCTCCCTACCTCGACATCGACCAAACAATGAGAGATAAATATACTGAATACTTTTGCGATCAACGGTTGGAGTCGTTCAGTAGCAGACTACAGAGTCTTTTTTACAGGTCACGCGGAATCAAAACTGTATGACTTCAAATGAATTTTTGGAGATAAAATTGCCTAATGTATCTCAAACGAGCTTAGTCGAGCCACGAAGAGAATATCCGAACAGCTTTAAACACATTAATGATATATACTAGTAACTAAAACCAAAACGTCGAAAGACTAATATATCTCGTGAGAAACTCGTACCAAGAGGCTTCGAACAAGACGAAAGGCAAAACAACTTACATAGAGAAAAATGAAGAGTCTATACAATGACCGTAACCAGTCGTGAGTAACAACAAAAAATAGATAGACGAGCAGAAGAGATATGTAACACGAGACAGCTGCTGATGGTGATGTCAGTGTGGTAAAAAAAGTGAAAAACTCAATAAAAAGTACAGATTGGTAAAATAAATTGCAACCTATGCATCACATGTAAGGGCTGGTGATATTGCCTGGTTGCCCGGAACGGAGTCACTGAGGTGGTTAGAACTTGAGACGCAGTGGCTGGAAGTCAATTGCTTTAGTCAAACTAAACCACCACTTCATTACACCTTGCAAATTGTATTATTATATATATAAAGGAGACTTACGTAATAAGATCAGTAACTTGTTTCACTAAAATTCCACGAACCTCAGCTACTTTCGGATTCTGTTCAGTAACATACTTTGTCACAAATTGATCATACTGAATCATAACAGGAGTGAGTAAAACACGGAATAATTCTCCGACGCGATCTCCGTTGTTATTACTGTTATCTGAGTTAGGCAGTTGGATACCACCTGCAGCGATAAGTTGCGCAGCTGCTTCATAAAGGAAACCTTGTTCAGTAATACCCAAGCCTGTTTTAACAGATTTTCCAAAATTCGATGTATTTCCATTGGCAAAACCAGCACTTCCATTTAGTTCACCATTTACAACACTAGAATCTGGTTCTAATGACAATTCTAATAAGTCGGAGAAACGTGAAAGATATTCTTCGGTATGTGGAAGAAGAGTTTTTCTATATTTATAAGAAAAACAAGGAATAAATCTAATGTTGGGTAGAATAGAAACAGTAAATTATCGACACGCAATAACGAAAGGTTATTTATAAAAGTTGTTACAGTGATAATAATGATAAAAACTAATTTTACTTATGCACCAGGTTAATGCATTTAATTATACTATTTGCATATGACGGCAGTGATATTGCGATTCCACTGTCTAAACCAAAAATAGATGAGGGTTCGAGCCAGCGACCTATAGGCTGAAAGTCAAATGTGTTCATCTCCAGGTTATCGAGTTTTAGTAAAATATAAAAAACTACAGTACGATCTGACAGGGGTTTCAAATCAATGAGAAAAATTATTAGGTTTTCAGCATAAAACCTTAAAAATTTGGAAAATGAGAGGTTTCCAGATTATGAAATGGTGTAAAAAGATAGTTTTTGGATTAACGGTTGTTAGCTTCAGTACAACCTTACTCTCTTGTATGAAATTTTTAAACACTGTGCGATTCAGTAGCTTGAGATTTCATCAAAAGAGTTTAAAAAGTGAAAACTGGCAATTATATTGCTCTAGCTTTCTCTAGAAATAGTAGGAAAACAAGGTATCTGAAGGGAAACCAACTTGAATAAATTCTTAATTCAAATATAATGCTTAGCATTATGCAACTTTTCAGAAGCCCTTTGTACCTCAAGAATTTTTCTTGTTATACTTGATGTATTTCATGTTGCCCTATTGCATAAAGCTGTTTTTATGTAAAATAAGTAAATAAAGATAAGTTATCCTACAATTTGTGCATTTTAATCTGTTAATCACTCTCTTAGAAAAGTTAAAATCATTCAGATTAATATTCACCCACATCATTAGGTTAAGATAACAACAGTAATAAATGTCGAATGAGGCAATTTTGATCATTTTGTTTTGTTAAAAGAAATATTATCGTTATTCACTTGGTATTGTTTTACTTGAATCTTCCCATTGATGTTTTAGGACTGAAATTGATCAGTCTCTTACTGAGTTCGAGTCCCAGAGTGAACATCAACTCTGAGATGCAGGTACATCCAGCTGACGAGTCCCAAATAGGACGAAACGCGCATTCTGGATTCCACTATCCATTTTTGCTGATAATTATCGTTATTGTTTAAACACTGAAATTATAGAACTTAACCCAAGTACCAGTTATGTTAACACTTGATTTAGTTTGATATGTTATGAAGCTCAACCAAAAGGTTAATATGTGAGGTTTGACCATTAAAATGTGACTCTAAAGACATTCAGTTTCGTTATTACGGCGTACTGTTGTGTCACTATTTTAAGGAAACTACAACAGAAATATGATCATCCCATTATTATCGAAGGAGGTTAAATTGTGATTAGAGAAGAATTCCAAGATAATAAACAATAATCTAGAACTGTGAGCACCCACTGAACAGTTATAAAAGGCTTAGAACCCAGCACATATGTGCGTCGGTGGGAGTTGCTGAACGATATGAACATAGTTGAATGAGATTATCACGACAAACGTTAAAGTAGTAGAATTAGTAACAGTAAAAGCGATGGTAAAAAAGATTATGAATACAGAAAACGATTGTCGAAGAATATTATGACAAAATCAAGAATTCTGGTACCCAAGATCACATCGAAGACAAGGAATCAATGAATGTACTTCATTGTGACTAATTATGAACTATGTCACCCAAAGTTTCTAACCGTTGATCGTGATTATCACATATACTAACATGGTTTAGTTCAACAATCAATGGATTTATTGTACGATACCATATATTGGTTTGTCCGCCTAGTTATATATTTTATCGGAATGGGGTTGTGGAGATTGTTAAGCTTTTTATTGAGATTATGAATCTATAATTGTTAAACCACCACTGAAAACCTGGAAGCACTGGACGGCTGTTTCGTCCTAATATGAAACAATTTAGCAGTGTACATCCATGAACCCGAACGCGGGAATCGAGCCTAGGACATTCGGTCTCATGCGTGAACGCTTAAATTATAGATCAATGAGCCGGCATCCAACGGTGTTAATGTCTAACTTCAAGCAACCCACGAAACTACACGACTATCTTCAATTGTCTGAAGTAGATACCTGTATCTACCTGACACAGATTAGCTTCACTTGCACGGCTTCTAATTAGAACTCCGAGAATTTCATCACGAAGCTAGTCACTAATGAACATGTGGTAATTATTAGTATGGAGTTGTGGAGATTGTTAAGATTTTGATTGAGATCATGAATCGATCGATGTTATATATATATATATATATATATATATATATATATATATATATATATATATATATATAAACTAAAAATAATTTTAGGGAATAACTGAAATTAAAGGATGGTCAGTGTCAAGCAGGATGACAAAATGATTTAAAAAAGAAGTATTTGAGAAAAATCAATCGGGAAGACGGATGTTAACCAAATATTATTTGATTTACTTTAAGCAGAAATAGAGCTTTGGAATAATAAAAAATGTCCCTCCAAAATTACATTTTAAAATCTGTTATAGGTTGGAGGAGGTGAGAGAAACAATCAAGGTACACTTCGTCAATGAACAATTAATGAATAATTTCGATTCGTTTATCGACAAACAGAAGAAATTAGGAGACAGGACAAAAAGTTCACTGTTAACGCTACTTTAGAAAAAAAGTAAATTATATCGAGATGAAAGAAAATACGGGCGAAAATTCTGATAACTGATTATAAAACATTCTTTATGAAATATACTTACTTGTGTGACTTTATAATGCGATTAATTAAATAAGCGCAGCGAATTTTAACACTATGCCATGAACTATGCAAACCTCGATCATCAACAAATGCGAGCTAAATTGAATTTAAATGAAAAAAAAGAAACATTTTTTTATCGAAACCATACATGGGTTATCTCTTTGTTTGTTGCTTCAAATGAATGTTACATTATCGGTCAACATAGGGAAGAACTTAAAATTTCTGTTATTATGACTGCGAATGCATGCGCCAAACGTAAATTCATTATTCTCTAGAAGGTTAATATTTTTGTTAGTAATTGAAGGTTGTAGTAAACCCATTCAACTACTGTATCATTTATCTGCTCACTGTAATTTAGATTACTTGATTAACACTCACTCACACACACAGTCTTGGTTTCCCTGTGTGCTTGCTTGTTATACACTTACGGATTTTACCAATCTATAACTGATATTCGGGCTTTTGAATAACCTCTAGTAAATTCATAATTCTACTAGGAGATTTAGCGAGTATTAAATACTCAGTTAACGGGATATCATTTATTGGAGTCAGATATAGGGGGAATTAGCCTCTGCAAGGTGATATATTTAATAGGACAGGTCAGTCAGTCATATGTGAATGTAGAACTTGATATTTATGTGCAACAGGTGAATTCTCCGCACTACATCAGCATAGCGAGATGTCAGAGTAGAATTGGTATTAATAGTTTTGATGGTAGTAAAAATGATTAGGGAAAATAGACATAACCGGAGAAACACATGGATTAATGGAATAAAGATTTTAAAATTACAGAACTTATGAGCTAAGAGAGGACAATGAGTTAATACACCCGCATCACAGCGAATGATTGCAAGTCATATTACTGAACGTCTGTAAACGATCGCTACGATAATCGTGAGGACCAAAATCAGATATTTTACACCTACCTTCCAACATGGATCAGTTCGACTTTCAATGAATCATAGGGCGAAGCTAGATTTTGTTTTAGGCACTCCTACCTTTCTTTAAATGCAAATAAACACCAGCCTATAGTGCGCGTAGAGGTGGACAGTACCTGAGTGGGCATGAGTAATACTTGTGTCAAATACCTCAGCTGATGAAGATTCACTACCATATCAACCGATTCACCATGGTTATTTAGCGCCCTGCACCTAGCCTACGCTACAAACAACGTAAATCTCCGAAACCATGCTACGTTTTCTAAATTCGTACCAAGATCTCATCAGACACTAATGCATAAGAATTGACGGGATTGCCAAATTAAACGAAGCAATAAACGAACTCAAAAGTAAGTAATTTTCTAATCTGAAGAGTTATTCAATAGGCTGAAGAATAAATAACAGTTTATATTCTAAGGCAATGTTTAGAATCAGTTATTGATTGAATCCTCACCCGTTAGTCGAACAGTAATGAGTAAAGTCCAACTCTAAATATGATTAGCAGTAACTCGCACTATAGGCTTCATTAAGAGTAGTTTACCCCATGTAGGAGAAAAACCATAGCATGTGTGATTATTAGCGATTATGTAGTAATTTTTTTTACAATAACGGAATATTTTTATTAGCTTAAAAGTCGTTTTCGAAACTAGTTTACATAAACGCATACAAATATTATCTGTATATTTACATCTCGTGAACATTATCCAGCCAATTAGGGGAGCTTACATGAATTTAATCTAATCGAATGTAATCAATTATTCACCAAGCCTATATATGATGTATCCAGATTAAAAGAAAGAAACTGAATCTGTCTATATTCATGTTAACGGTTCTGAGATATACGACACATGAGATTAACAATACATAGACCATTGTGACAATTAAATCCTTGGCGACCTGCTTGAACATCTGGGCTACCTGTTTCTTGCCATCTAAATATTTCACAAGTTATCTGTTTTTGCTTGTTTGAACACATCATTATGTCTATTAATCGCACAACCTATTCAGGTGCATTTAAGAAAAGTTTATAACCTTTCGCCGTACAGGTTATAAAAAAGCCCAATAAGAGACATCATGGTTGCTAGCAAAATGCAGCGACAAGAATGTACATTATTCAGATGTCGATTCCTGGACTGTTAGCTTCTAACTATCGATCACTCAATATTTATCGTCAAGATCGACCAAGAAATAAGAAACGGAAACTTGTTGAAATAATTTGTGCTGAGAATTTTACATTATACCAAAAATATAATATTGAATAAAGCTAATAATAATATTAAAATAAAATGAAAAATTGATAATTGTTAGTGACCGATCACATGTTTACACGCTAAGTTCAGAATTGAGCTTACCGTGTGTTGGTTACACGTATGTCTGCTTGCTGTGGACATGACCCTAAGGCTAAAAGCCTATAGTTTTCGACATATAACAACAAATCTATATTTTTGCACGTAAAATAATAAATACACGGTAATTTCTGAATCTGAAGAGATTACGTCTGTACTAATTTATTAAATATAATTTAACTAGCTAAAACCCATTTAACACTTATTATTTTGTCTATTTATACAATTCTGCACGTTTTCCCGGTCGAAATGTCCAACATTAAGTAATCTTCATTCAAGTTTGGCGTTTTTTCTACACTGGTGTATTGATGTTACAATAAGACGCTTTTGCATTCCTTTGAATGTCATTCTAAATACGATTATGCCCGAAAACTTCATCAATCTACTTCAGAGTCTCAATAAAATTTATTCGAGATTTGACTCAAATAAGCTGGGAACAGATTATGTAGCATTGATAACAGCTCACATTATATCAGGTAACTTACTTGAAAGACAATTTTCGCCACGTGATTGGGTTCTGCATTATGATAGCAAGTTGTTTAGGGTAGTCTTTTGCAACAAAGCTATTGTTTGGTTAATAAAGTCTACATAAACCACCACACCACGAAATGGTCAAAGTTATTGTGACTACACAAAAAATCTTCACTTAACCAAAATATGATTTAGACAAGTATCTTGGCAATAAATAAAAATTATAAATACATCACAAAGCATGACTTAATAAAGAAACCATAGCAACAAATAACATTGGGGTCTTTAAGATGTGCACTAAAATTAGACGGCATTAAAAAGCAACGTTAATCTAGGTAGATAACAAGAGAAATACAAAAGACGTACCATCACATTCAAAAGGTGTTCAGGTACTAGCGAAAAATAACGTTCATACCGAACCATTATTTCGAAATACTGTAACTGAAGAGCTTCATGTGGTAAACGAGAGAAGGAATCACTGCACAGTATAGACATTATTGATACCATAGTTTCATGTTGAGGAAAACTTTGACAGAAGTGATCATTTTTACTGGCCTGAAAAATAATTATGTAAAACATTATATGAAACAGATCACATTTGTCATGCATGTGAAAAAACTAATCATATATAAGTATATAAACTTGGTATTCGGTTAGTGGGAAGGCCGTTAGGACCCTTAAACTGAAACAAGATTCGAACTTGCGACTAAATTGTTAAAAAGTTAGTTATACAATGATTAAGTTACTATCCCAACAAGGTGTAGTAGTAAAGTGGAGACCGAATGTGAAATAACTATCTACTGTTTCTTCAATACTACTCGAAGGAAAAACAAGATACCTAGATTTAATTTACCTATAAAATGAATAATCTAGATGACACAAGATGAACAGTAAACGAGTTAAAACAACAGTAATATTTATGATAGCAAGAAAAACTAAATGTACGGAATATAGTCAAAAAAGATAAGATAAACTTATGGAATAAAAAGTATGCAACAATACTGGAACTCTGGATCCAATAAAATATAGAAAACGAGTCTATCTTAAACACTGAGATAGACTGAGCCATGTTACTCATTTTCAATTACTGGTCATGATCATCGCGTAGATCCAACCAGATAGTTCACATCTATTATTAAAACTTAGTTCAACAGCTGGTGATTCCATGGACAGATGATGTGTCGGTATCGCCTTAAATCTATCCCCACTTTGGTCAACACTGTGCATTGAGGTGGGCGATGGTTGAGAACATGCAATGCATGTTTTACGGTACCATCAACCGTTTCACCACATTTGCTTAGCATCCTACTACTATAAAATAAGCGAGCAATACTCCAAGGACATCTATTAACGGATACAAGAAAGTATGTCATCCAATTCCAAAATCCACACTTTACATTCATTGAGTTAAACCGAGCAGAAAGATGCACAACATAATCATTCGTTAGTACATACGCACACAACAATAACAGTACATTAAAATAGAAAAAAAATTGAACACCTGATAAACCTACTTTGCAAATTTCTCCAAACAAATAGAATAAATTCAAAGTTACATCAATTTGTTGCACATGCTCCAGAGGAAATGAAGATTTTTCCATACCATTTGAGTTGAGTAAATGATGGGAATGTCTAACCATTTGATGTATAGTATCCAATACAAATCTTTGATCTAACTGTGTGATGTTTCCAAATAGTGTGCGTAGTTCATGTCGGTATTCTTCATATTCACTCTGGAAGAACAAGAAGATGCAAGATAAAAGTCAATTACTTAATAAATAACATATTTTTAGCATTAAGTGGTGGCTTGACGGTTAATGCGTTTAACTTTCAGTAGCTAAATCCCATGTTTGAACCTTAGTTCATCTACTTCGATTTCAGCAACACAATAATATCACTAGCCCTCATATTTGGTATGTCTGGAAGTTAACCACACGAATCTGTACCAGATTGGTAAGTTATTAATAATGAGTTATGTACTCGGCTGAGTTATACTGATTATATAAAGGCCTATGATACTATATATATATATATATATATATATATATATATATATATATATATATATATATATATATATATATATATATATATATATACAAATGAATTAAATAGCCTCTAGAATATTAACGTAGTTCATACTTATTACAAACCATCCATGATTGCAATTTTAGATATTTGAGGCTGACAAATAATAGACGGACAGAAAAAATGACTGTTTTAATACACAGCCTGCAGTATTGCTCCAAAACTCGCTTTTTACACAAAAGATTCTTACCTCATCATCATCTCCTTGGTTATCACGAATCGGAAGACACTTCATCTTATCTATACATGCAAATAGAAGACGTTTAACAAAAAACGATCTGATTTCATTTATTTCCAGATGACCAGGTGATGTAGTACTGTTCAACAATAAAGGATTTGTAGAATCCAATGAAGTTGAACTATTACGATTACGTGAACGACGTCCACCTCCTGGTGATAAAAGATTTTCCGACGGATGATTTACAACGCTTTTCAATAGACCCAGATAAGAACGAAGAAATGGTGTAACCACTTGGCTGATTTGTTGCTCTTTATGTTCAAATAAACGTACAGCAATATTTAATCGGTCTTCCAGGGCTTCTAATGCAATGGGTAAGAATGAATTATTATCTGATTCGGATCGAAACTGATTATTAGCTTGATTTGAACTGTTATTTATCCAAGTTGCTTCATACAAGTTCCTAATAAAACAAAGTTTAAAAAGGAATGGTTCAAATTATTATTATTATTATTATTATTATTATTAACCATATTATTCACCCTCTTTTATACTTATACAGCGGCTCGTCTTTGGTGGAAATTCGACTGTATCTAAACGTTCTCGAGTCACTGTCCGGTTGAAAATTGAATTCTACCAGCAAATACGAATACTGAAGCACTTTTTCTGAAACCACGTGCACCATTCAAACTGGCTGCCTTCAACGTTCGCACACTTATGCAGGTTGGGCAACAGATAGGGCTGGCTATGTCTTTAGAAAGTCTTAATATCAACGTGTGTTTTCTATCTGAGACCCGTATTCAAGACTGGTGAAGTACTACAAATTCGATCTCCATCTGTCACTTCGAAAAGCTTGTTTTACGTGCGCTTATCCGGAGACCCCGTGGCATCTTTGTCTGGTCTTGCTGGCGTTGGTATGGCACTAAGCGCTAGAGCTGAGGCAGCACTAATCGATTGGATCCCCATTAACAGTCGGTTATGTACTGTTAGATTAGAAAGTTCCATCAAAGTGAGAAGAAATCGGCGTGAGAAACGATGTATTTTTGTCAGCTCCGCCTATGCCCCGACAGATTGCAGCCCAGATGCAATCAAGAACGAGTTTTACCACCAGTTCTCTGTTCTTCTCTAGATATTGTAGTACTAGCCGGAGACTTGAATGCTCAGGTCGGGCGTCTAGGCACAGAAGAGTCGTTTAGGTGGCCGATGGGGACTTGTTGGTCGCAGGACAGATAACGGCGACCGTCTACTGCAAATGTGCACAGACCACAACCTGTTTCTGGCTAGCACTAACTTTCGGCACAGTCATCGCCGATGTGCCACCTGGCGTCCTCTCTCTGCATCCCAAGCCTGGACTCAGATTGATCACATCTCGATCAGCTACCGCTGGCGTGATTGTGTACAAGACTGCCGCTCCTTTCGGAGTACCTATCTGGACTCTGACCATGCCTTGGTCTGTGCCAATCTTACCTTACTTTTCAGTGGACAACGAAGTGACCGCCACAAAAGGATTGATGTTAGCAAGCTGGTTGCAACTTCTGTTGCAAGTAAGTATCGAACCGAGCTAGCTTCTAGGTTAGCTGCTATTCCACCGAAAAGTATGGATGAGCATTGGTTTCAACTGCATGATGCCATGAAAATGGCGAGTGACGTCACTTGCGGGTTCGCGAAGCGTCCCGCTTATAAGCACTGGGTTTCTTCAGGCTCCTTACAACTCATTGAAGCCCGCCGGTCTACTCTGGGTGACCATGAGTTTGACTATTAAACGAAGGATGTTACGTAAGGGAATCGGGCAAAGCTTGCGTAAGGACCGAGAAGCCTGGTGGTCGAAGCGTGCTAATAAGCTGGAAGCAGCAGCAGCAGCTGCATCTGGTAACTACCGGAAGCTCTTCCAACTCATCCGAGCCACTGGCAGCAAGAAGTCTGGTGTGAGCGAAACAACCTATAAGAATGACGCGATGCCAATCACTAACATCCATCGACGTCTTGGACGATGGGCAGAATGTTTCGAAGGGCAGTTCAACCGGCCTGCTGCTCCGGCAAAATCGGTCAGACTGTCCTGCCCTCCATGGCCGGTGACGACTGATCCACCAAACGAGGAGGAAGTCCGCAGGGAACTCCAACTCTTGAAGCGTTACAAATCACCTGGCCCAGATGACTTACCTCTGATCCATTTTAAGATGGTGGTGACTTTTTGACTAAGGAATTGACGACGTTGTTTACAAAAGTCTGGGGACTAGAGAGTGTACCAACGTCATGGAATGAGTCAATAGTTGTCCCTATCTTTAAAAAGGGTTCACGTCGTTCCTGTAACAACTATCGGGGGATAAGTCTACTTCCGATTGCGTCCAAGCTATTGCTTTCCGTCATACTTCGTTGGTTGATCAAAACCCGAGAAAGATTGACTCGCGAGGAGCAGGCTGGGTTTCGTTCTGGTCGAGGATGCATTGATCATATCTTCACCCTCCGCCAAATGTTAGAACACAGCCATACTTATCAAAGGCCAACAATCGTAGTGTTTCTTGACATCAGGGCTGCCTTCAATTCGTTGGATAGAACTGTTCTCTGGGATTGTCTATTGAAGAAGGGTGTGCCTGAGAAGTTTATTAACATCCAAAAAGCCCTATATACAAACACCTCAGGCAGAGTGAGGGCATACAACCACCTCTCTCTATTGTTACATTCGAGCAGTGGGGTTAGGCAGGGTTGCCCAATCTCATCATTCCTCTTCAACTTTGCCATCGATGACATTCTGGAAACAGCTCTGATGAATGTAAGTAATGGTGGTGTGGATCTGTTGCCTGGAGAAAGACTTCTCAACCTTGAGTATGCGGACGATATTGTCTTACTGTGCGATAATGCCCAAGGCATGCAATCCGCACTTAATCAGTTGGCAATCAGTGTCCGTAGGTATGGTATGTGCTTTGCACCTTCGAAGTGCAAAGTACTTCTACAAGACTGGCAGGATCGTAATCCTGTACTCACCCAGGATGGTGAGCAGATAGAAGTAGTCGAGAAGTTCGTGTATCAGAGTAGCTGCATAAGTGCTGGTGGGGGTGTGAGTGATGAGATCAATGCACGAATAGTGAAATCCAGAGCGGCTTATGCCAATCTGGGCCATCTTTGGCGCCTTCGTGATGTTAGTCTGGCTGTAAAAGGTCGGATCTACAACGCGTCGGTGATAACAGTTTCGCTCAATGCTTGTGAAACCTGGCCTTTCCGAGTTGAGGACGTTAGAAGACTCTCTGTGTTCGATCATCGCCGTCTCCAAAGGATTGCTGACATCCAGTGGCAACACCATGTCAGTAATGCAGAGGTTCGGCATCGTGTGTTCGGGCAAAGAGATGATAATGCAATCGATGTCACCATCTTGAAACACAGACTTCGGTGGCTTGGACATGTTCTACGAGTGTCATCCCAGAGAATTCCACGTTGTGCATCGTTTGCCGACGCTGGGACTAGTTGGAAAAAGCGGAGAGGTGGTCAGTGTATGAAATGGTGTCGCGGCATGAAAGAAAGCTGCAAAGGACTGGCTTCTGTTGGTCCTTCACAACTCCCTGGTTGGGGTCCGAGAAATGGTGCTACACAGTGGCTAGAGACGTTATCATATATGGCTCAGAATAGAAGCCAGTGGCGATCCTGCTGTAACCTTCTTTCACTTTCTTCACAAAAAGTGGTTGTGTTTCCCTTAACTGAAAGATTTCTTATGATTGTACTTTTTCGTTCCCTCATTATTACTACACTACCTTACACCAATCTCTTCGTTATTGCTCTCTTTTTTACGCTCCTTACTTTTTTTTCTCTTCGAATTCTCATTGTTTTGCGTGGCGCATATATACTGGCGCTCTCTTGTACCAATATTTGTGTTTAAATAAAATAAATTAAATCGTATTTGTGATTGAAAGCTTTTAAAGAGATGTAAGGGTTAATGATATTGTCCAACTGCCTAGTCAAAATAGATATGGTAGGGTTTGAAACTTACACCTATTAGTGGATAGCTGGGTGTTTGAACTATGAAGAAAGATAATAAATGGAGTAGGAAGCCAAATATGATATATAATAAGATAAATACCAAAGGCACCTAAGTTTTTCTAATCTATCTTCAATCATTTCACATAAGATTGTGAAGAAATCGGATTGAAAACAAACAAAAAATAAATTTTATTCTCACTCATGAGATTAATTATTTGTAATCTCTCACTGATTTTAATTGTATTCATTAAGCAACCAATGCAAAAACTAGGTAATTACAGAAAGTGCCGAAGAATGTATCAAACGAGCGCTAGGTTCTAACTGGTTATCAATAAGAATTACTAACGTGATACAACCGTATTCGAGTTCCGAGTTTTAATAGAGGTTTAAACCGATTTAATTGCCAGTTGTATAAAGTAGAGATTATCTGATTATCATCCAAACCGCAGTTTAATTACAGTATTCCAATATGTTAAGTTATTTTTCATGGCTTCTAAAGATACGTACACATATACTCCACTTATGGTTGTTTGATATACAGAGAATCATCAAACGTCAACTGAAGTGTCCATAAATACATTTATTTTATTATTTAGATCAGAACACAAAACATGAACAATCAGTTGCATAGATTATCAAATTAACACGCTCTAAATGCGTGGACAACCTGTAAACGACTCAGCATATCATGATTATGATAATAAGACAAAGATTAATCAAAATAAAACAAATATTAAAATACCTGTACACAGACAATAATTGATTTCCCATTGCATCGATCAAAGTAGCAAATGTAGATAAGGATTCTAATTGATCTTCATTTAAGTTGTCACAAGTGTCGTTAGCTGAATTCATCATGAAATTCGATATATTTGGATCATTAATTAACATAGATCCTAACTGTTCCCAAATACCAGTTAACAACCTTAATTTGTCAATTACTTGCATACCTTTATTTACAAAACCTATTAAATATAAATAAATCCCGCAACGAATGATTGCATTTGCTGAATTATCATCAATTGATAATTGTAATAATCGGCTTAATAATGTAATCCATTCTGTATTGGCCACAAGTGTTAAATCAACCCATGATGCATATAAACCAATGGTATGAAGAATTTTGCGAATCAGACATGCATTCGATTGACATGAATTAAGAAATCGATACTGGAAAAAAAATCATATTGGAGTATGTTAAATTATGGTTATTTTATGCTGAAGCAAATTATTTTACTAAGAAAAGTATGTTTAATATAATACGATAACAATACTGCTCAACGCCAAAAATGGGAAATCTAGATAAACTACAAGATATCGTTGACATACTTTTTGAAATGTATTTAGAGTTATTATCACAGGTGAACGCATATTGTTTAGCTTTTCTCATATTAACTGTTAGGGATATCGACCAGTATGTGAATGTGAAAAAATTAATCAAGCAGTAAATATTATAGTGCAGTTGTAATTTGGCACATTCAATCCGTAAAGAAGTGAAGTAAACTTTCCCAAAATCCTCATATTTCAAGGTCCATAGGTGGCCAAACAAATACCCCAAAAGTATACCATAATATACAACCATACCGTACAAGTACCAACTTTTCTATACAGTGAATCCACAATTTGAGTGTCATTATGATAACCAATTACATAGAAATGAGTGGTTGATAACATCAATATCAGTGATCTCAACAACAAAATGTGTTATAATACGAATTGCCATGATTACTTCAGAAATAACTGTAGTTAAACCCGTTTTATTCTAGTTTACTTACATAGTTTCGATGGAATTCCACACGCAAGTTTTTGCTATGGTGCTTACTAACATTTACAAGTCCAAATACACGCAGGTTTAGTTATTATTACACATCTTCAGTTTCGTATAACTTCTAAGAAAAACTATACGGAGATAGATTACACATTATTCAGATGAATATATATTTTACCGGTATTGGTTAATTGTACGGTACTGAAGATGATGCACGCTATCGCTTCAAGTAATGTGCTAACAATTTAGCAAGAACTAGTTTAGAAGACGTAACAAATTTTCTAACTGAAGTGAATAAATTCGAGAAATTTCTTGATAATGTTAAGGCGGTCGCAAGAATAGTCAAATTTTAATAGAAAGGCTAAAATCTATTCAGAAACGATAACCGTTCGCACGCTTTCTACCAATTCGATTTTCCGCATGACCTTTGCCCTCTGATTGGCTGTCACTTTTTCTTAGTTCGGTAAATTGCTACATGCTTGATCATATTCTGCTAATCTAGTAGCGACCTTTTTTGTACTAATTCCGTTTGAGTTGAATGTCTTACCATAAATATGAAGTTACCTGAAATTTCGTCATCCTCCGGTCTTAGTCATCGGGTTTGATGTGTTGAGTACAATTAACTGTTGTCATTTCCGAAGAGAACCGAATGTATTAGGGAAGCTCAGTCGTTTTCATTCCTGAATCAGTAACATCGTAGGTCATACTGAACCCCAATAACAAGACAATAGTCACTTTGTTCTATTATGCAGGTTAACCTATAACTGTTTTGTCAATATGATCAATCCGAGTTAAAAGCTGTGAAATATTCAAGTGATTGAACAAGAATCCCACATAAGAGTACCTGGTAGTAATTTGATTATAATGTGGTTGAGATTCTGTAGAAAGTGAGCTTAAAAAAGCAAAACGTAGATTATAACTCACTATCAATTGATAACACGTATGAATCAGTGAGCCAATACATGATTCACGCATTGCATCTTTGAGTTCGTTACTTCGTCTGAGTTCCTCGGTGGTTAACTGTACATTTCTTGATATGATATAGCTGTCTAAATCAATAAGAATATCAAGGAACAGATCGACAGCCACTACATCAGACTTATTTCTCTCACTGAGTTGTCCATCTTCAAAAAATTAAATAACACAAGTTAATATGGAACAGGTATTACAAATATTTCATGAAAATGAAATATGTTAATGATTACAAGTTTGATTATACATGAGTTACAGATTTAATAATCGTTACATCTATGGCAGTTTGAGTAGAAAATCCATGTAGTATGGAGTTACAATAGTTATGATTTAAAAAGTTGAACGTATGCACAATTACTATTTTGCACTGAATAAACTGAGATTTCGTTAAGTAAAATTCTCATACAGGCATTTAGTAAACATTAAACAGATCGAAGAAATTTTTTGCTAATCAGTATACAATCATGGCTCTAAACTGATTCTCATATTAGACATTATGTAAATAGTCAACCGTTCACCAGAATGTTTTAATTTAATTACAACTAATTAATCTGATTATGAAAATCATCTGTACCTACACTTGAAGTAGTGCAGCAAATAACTGCTCTAATCTAGATATTAGTCCGAGGAATATACGGGGAAAGATAATAACCAATCCACGAGAAATCTGGAAAATTCAAAAGGACCAACCTGTTGCTTCAACTAGAATTCCCAAAAGATCGTCAAAAAGGGAAGACCAATGATTTGGATAGTACCGTATAATAGCCAATGTAATTAACTGACCAGCTTTCGCTTCAAAATATTTAGGTTTTCTGATCCCATCAACAGGATTAATGAAATATCTCAACCACTGGCAGGCAAACGTAGCGAATTTCTGTGCTTCATCTGGTCGAACGGGTAAACTAAAATCTCAGAATGAGAAAATCATTTTACTTACTCAGATTTTAAATTCTCCTCAAGTGCTCTGCAACATAGGAAAAAAAGGGCAGATTTTTGGTCCCCCGGGAGTGCATCTACATTTGGGAGGGTCGAATTAGAATTTAACAAAACAGAAGTGCATATTGGCCAACCATCTTCTGAACTGAGGAACTGTATTAACTTCAATACATGCTTTTGACAGTTGTTGTCTTTACCTTGTTGAGCGTTGAAAACGTTACACAGTTCCGCAATATTGAAATCCATTTACTTATTCACATACACTGACAAAAGGCACAATCCGAATCTCAAGTCCGAATAAAAACCATACGAACCCGGTGCCACCCAAGTACCATAAAGGTGGCTATCTGTTAGGCTAAAAATAATTATTGAAATAAATAAAATTCAAAGACAAGTGAATCTAAAACATGACAATTTTACTATGAGATTGACTAATGACGCATACAGATTTTTTTGGAAAAAGCAATTGTTTTTGACCGAAAAAATACTTGAAAACAATTTGTAAATGGTCCCTGCATTTGTCTGATACATAGTTTGAAAGTTTATTAGATAATTTCAATAATATTACCCGACCTTATTCATAACTTGTGGAAAGCTTGTTAAGTTATGAATAGTACATATGACAGACGCGGTTTACACAAATAAATTATTTTGCTGTAGAATGAACGAGACAAAATGGTCTGGAGGGAGGATCCTGCTTCATTTTTGGGTGCCCAGGCAGTATTCCAGCCCCCATACAAATCGAATGATTCGTGTGGCGCATATATATTTGGCGTCTTGTACCAATTCATGTTTAAACAATAATAGTAATAAATGGAGGACTGGAACAAATTGACCACAACTTGGAAGACGGATTAAGTCCAGAAATACTGAGCATTCAGGAAGACATTGTATCTAAACGTGGACTACGGGGTGATGTTTACCACAAAGTCAACTTGCATAACATTAGGACAACAGAAGCAGTAAATGCAGCGACGTGTTACGAGTGGAAAAGATTAATATAGTAACGTAAAACGTGAAAACAGATAATTAAGATATAGTGACTACACAATATAAACAAAATGTTTAGTTCACAATATTTTTCTTCAATTCGTATAAAGCTCCATCCACATGACTGAATAACTAGAAGTAATGTAACTCAATAGCTGAGTACGTGTTCGTGTACAGCTCTGGTACGGCCGAGAGTGAGGAGAGTCAACTCTCCCTCTTGGAATGCTCTCACATGGTCACTTGCATACAACCACTTCCACGAAGTCCTACTCAATGTCTTCTCTCAATGGTGTTGTTCATAAAATTGAGAGGAAAAGCGAATGCACGGCGCTTTAACCGGGTTGGTGGAAATGGAGTCTACCTAGGGGAATTGAAAAACCCTGATTCCAAAACAATGGTGCGCATGGGCTCCAGGATTCTGAAGGAGTAAGTGGAGTATGGATCAATCGTTGGTCACTGGCTAACATAGGACTGCATCTCCTGGTCCATAAAAGAACCACGTGCTTCGGTATGAGCACCCGAACAGTATCTTAGCCCTCACACAAACCGAGTGATCAGTGTGGCGCATATCTATTTGGTGCCTTCTTGTACCTATGTTTACGTTTAAATGAAAAAAAAACTACCGTTTTAACCAAATGAGCCATCCACAAGCCAGTGACATGATCCGAGTTTCGAACCAGTATGTATATGTATATATACACATAAGTATGAAGGCTACTCGATCGTCAAATAATTTATATACTATTAGTGAAAGTACAAGAGGAAAAAACTTGATATTATAAAGCTTACTAAGAATCGTATGGAAAAGATAGATTAGTATTATCTTGATTAGTTAAGTAGACGATCAGTTTTAATAGGCCTAACCAGACGAATTCTGTATTCAATCCTAAAAAAGAAAATAGCAGAAATGAATATAATGCGTGATTTGATCAGAGACCTACATGCACAAAAATGTGTCACGACTAGTATAAAATTATCGTTGTCAAATTTCACTCACTGATCCAAACTCTACAAATCAAATTAAGCCTAACGAATCAAAATTTCCTGAGAACACAGGTAGATTAGCTATTAACAGTTTGGTATCCAAAAAACTTAAGTATTTGATAATGAAGGTTGGGACGCCCATCATACTGCACAGAACTTGTACTGTTGCTCCCTGAAAAAAAGTATCCGGCATAACACGTATTTCTGAACATCTGACTTATATTTTATTCCTCACAAACACATATTGATTAAACCCAGTAGCTGATGCATAACAAAATAATTGGTGACAAACAAAATGGAAGTTTATTTCCCAAAATGTGTACGAATTGAATCGGAAACACTAATTTAAAACGATAAATAGAGGACTAGCACGACTATAAGAGAATAAACATACAAACATGTGGTCAGTGGAGCACCGCACCAACACCACGAGAACGTCAACCCAGAAAGCGCGCCGCTTTCAATATCCAATGCATGATGCCAAAAATAAGAATAAAATCCCACTTATATTTCACCTAATTTAAGTACACTTTCAAGCTTTATATTAGACTTACGAATGTCGTACTCTGTTCTGTAAGCTGCCACTAGAGGTACTGATTTAGATTCAACTGACTATTGTGTCAAGAAGGTTTATGTATCTTATTGAGATGGTATGTTCGATTCATTGATCTCGTTTATGTCCACATCTCTTGCACATCTGACATCTGTGCCTCTTAAAGAGGAAGAATCCTACACAAAGACCTCACCAAGTGGTTAACAGACAAGTAGTTAGTTTGTCTTGAATTGTTTCTGGTGTTTTCGACTTCTTGAGTTTTAACATAGTAATGGCATTCACACTATTGAAGGTTACATTCAATTTTACCCACTCATTTGACCCATTGTCGTGTCTGATACTTTGTAGCCGTTTACACTCAAATGTCAATTTCCTGAGTGTGACGTCTGGATCTTGATCAAGTCGAGTTTAAGGTCCAGTCCCAATCTCAGTATAATGTAGTGGATGGAGAGCTTTGATGAATGTTAGGCATTTAAATTGGTCTTCTACTAGTGAATGTAACTTGAACAGTTCACACTCTCAGTTGACGGCATCTGGTAGAGTACAATAACTATCGACTTCCCGTTTCACCAAATTTAGACACTGGTATCTAATACTATACAATGAAGATGATTCACTGAATACCTCTGGCAGTCGAACTTTGTCGGTGACGTGCTTTCAGAGATGACACTTACCTCGTCTAAATTTCCTGAGGTTGAATTTTTACCGTGGGATTCACTTGTTGACTTAGAATATGCTGACCACTCTAAACAACAGTGCAGGCATAATCGAGAAGCGATTCTCCCACTCGAAATGTAAAATGTTGCTTCATGATTGGGTTACATTGACATCCAAACTAATGATAGGAAGTGATGTAGCTGAGCGTGCCGACCGCTTCACCCATCTTGGAAGTCTCGTCAGCCCTTGTGGTGTGGAATGTGACGAAACCTCAGCACGGATACAGAAGGCTCGACTAGCTTTTGCCAACTTGCGTCATTTATGGCGTAGGCGAGATATTCGTCTATCAACCAAAGGACGGGTTTACTGCGCAGCAGTTCGTTCCGTCCTACTTTATGGCAGTGAAAAATGGCAGGTAAGAGTAGAAGATATTCGTGGGTCACTAGTATTTGATCATAGGTGTCTTCGAAACATTGCTCGTATATCCTAGGACTATCGAGTGGGTAACGCAGTTGTTAGGAAACGAGTACTAGGTAAGGACGGCAAACCAATTGATCAAGTAGTGAAACTTCATCAGTTGAGATAGCTGATACACGTGTTACGTATGCCCAACCACCAACTGCCTCGACGTGCGATGTTCAGTGGTATAGGAGTAGGTTGGAACAAAACTCGGGGCGGCCAGATCAAAACATGGCACAAGTCCATGAAGTCACTGACAAGTGGACTGAGTCATGTTGGTAGGTGTAGACTACCTGGTTAGGGACCGCGAGATGATAGCAACCGATGGTTAGAGACCCTGAATGACATGGCTCAAAATCGTTTGCAATGGCGCAGGTGCATACACTCTTTATGTTCTCCCAAATTTTGATCTCCTGATTCCTCCTTTTCTCTTTTTTTCTCTTCCCAAATTTATTTCACTGTATTATACTCTTTAAATAACATCTCCAAACACTAATTTTCCCGATTACTGCTTATACTCTTATTACCTCTACCACTACGGGATTTGAATCGACCACTGCATCTCTGTGCTAATGTGGTGTGGCAACTCGAACTGATGTACATACGTACGACGTTCTACGTTGTTGCTGACTGACTTACTGACTGGACTACAGCCTCTTTGAAACTGAGCTCTCGAGGCAACTTCGACAATATGCGATCAGCGCAGAGTGCATAATCACTATTTTCCAAATTACGCATCAACAACCGAGACTTCCACGAATCATTTTACTTGCCTTATTTTATTCTATATGATTCTTCGTATCGCTTGAACCATGTGAGGAAAGTATTTTCAATTTCGGGGTCATTTCTGAGTTCTGGGATGCTGCCAGTATCTGCATCACGGGAAATATTTGAAATAGCGTGTGAATTCAAGCACTTGATTTTAAGCTGTTGCATCAGTGTTCCCTACAATTGCATTTGTGCATCAAGTTGTTTTTTGTTGTTGTGGGATTTGCTTGCCTCGATCATCTGAAATCGACATCTTGAGTTCATTTTTATTTCTCCCCCTCTCTACTGTTATGATCTCTCTTATTACGACACAGTACCCTAATTGCTTAGTACTCTTCGGAAACTACTTCACTCGAAAAGTCTTCACATTAGAACACGGTTAAAAAGAAAAAAACTATATTCCAAGTAAACAAGGTTGGATGGAATTATGAACCGCAATAAGAAAAACAATTCTATGTTTAAAATTTTTACACAAGAAGATTCTACCTTCTTCTTCAAGTGTCCACTAGGACGAACTGCGTAATTCCATGCAGTACTGCACGGATTATGCTTTAATCCAATTACATCCCGTTAACACACAAACTTTTGAAATAAATTTTAATTATATTTATCTCTGAGTTAGACAGATTGCACAAAACATGACATTATACTGATGAATCACTCAGTCTTCTGATGTCCATTGTTTGAATCAAAAAACGAATTTTATATTGATGTCACACTCAATTATATAGTCTGTCCCTCGCCCGATAACATTCTTTCATTAAATATATATACATAAGTATATGTTGTTAACGTGTTCTCCGAGCTATTTAGTTTGTAGTGAGTCACTTTTATCACGAGAACACGACTAGTTTAATAAAAACAATTAATATTATAACCAACTGTACCAGTGCTTGTTTTAACGTGCTTTTGGTTAACTGTGCTAATTATATTCATTTTGTGCTTCCATTACCTTCCATCATAGTTTCGCGGTTTTTGGTACTGTTCGCACGTACTCCTTTCTCCTGCTTCAATTTGTACCATTCCTTGGCACGATCTCGGTATTCGTTCAATACCACGAGATCGCCTACGAAATAAATCTGGTTACGTTCAACCTTCACCTTCTGGTTTACTTGGCACGTGTTTTTCGGTAGCGGTGTTCATAGCCAATCTCGATTCGACGCCACGCTACAATTTTAATTGTGGAATTTTTACTGTCAGTTTAGACATCCTCAGTGCTACTTCAAACAGAAGTCAGTTTTTCAGTTGATTCACAAGTGTTATATCAGTTTACTCCAAAGGACTTTGGTTGAGGCAGTTGGTTTTCGTAGATTTTAATGTCTTTATTCTTTCTTGTATCCATGTTGGTTATCTTTTTCTGTTAACATCTGGTCTTGTGGCTGACTGAGCTCTTTGCGTGAATCGATAGAGTAAATTGCCAACAGGATTTGAAAGACCACTAATCACAAATAATACCCTTCGGACAAACTTACATAGCACATGTAAGTAAATGAAAAGCTGAATACTGTTTGAAGCGGTCCTGAAGATGTCAGAATGGCAAAATATCTACAGTTGAATAATCGACCTAAGAGAACACAACAGTGGTGTGATTCCGTTGGTTGTTTGAAGTAAAACATTAACACCGTTGGATGCCGGTTCAGTGGTCTAGAGGTCGAGCGTTCACTCGAGACCAAAGGTTCTGGGTTCGAATCACATGAGCGGGATTTCGGATGCACACTACTGAGGAGTCCCTTTCTGGGGCGAAACGGCAACCTGGCACTTTCAGGTTTTTCAAGGTGGCCTAGTCATAATCGACCCACCAATCCAACTATTAAAAGTATTATAGATAAAAAATGTGTGGAAGTTTGAAGCCCACTAAATGGGGTGAGTCCAAATAATCTCACCATCTTAGTCGTTCTTGCTTTACAAAAGTTTACCAATACAACTGCAATAATGTTAAAAATCATTGTTAGTTTGTGGTTTTGCTGTTTCTGTGATCTAGTTTGTTTCTATGAACCTCTATTTTGAAGAGCTCCTTCTACTTGTTTTGTTTTTTGAGCACATACTCTCTACTTTTGATCTCAAATATTGTCCGAATGAATGTTTCTTACTAAGCTATCTAGACAAAGTCGATTCATTTGAAGAAATCATTCACAGAAACATACCTATATATTCAGAAATAGGTCTAAATTACATGAGAAAATAACTTACGACTGACCTTTTACTGAGTAGTGGCCAATGTTAGATTTCTCTGGTCCCTTAATACATATCAAATACTATCGATCAAAGTAGAATGTGACCGCTAATCTGAGCGACTTGACAAGATGTGTACCATGTTGAAATGGTGGATAGTTAGATATAGTCAACAGGAAAACCCGGGGCTAGTTTCCATGCTATTTGGAATTCAGTAGCAAAAGATATCTGTAATTCTTACGGAATTGGTGTTCTCTGTGTGGTTCAAACGCTCATAAACCAGTTACAAATTGTGAGATATTATCACAGAGCTATCGAATAAATTCTGAATAAACCTAACAGTAACCTCCCTGGTGAGTTCTTGAATAGAAGTAGTCACTTCTCTTTTGATAAAAATCACACATTAAAAATTTTTCAATGAAATTTAAAAATTGAGTTTGATTTGGATGATCAAAGCTATCAATAAATACTCGGGTTCTTAAGCTGTTTGTGGATAATAAGTCAACCTAGGTTAAACTCGGGTTCATAAATTTACTGAAAATTCACAATAACTGACATTTATTCAAAGAAACAAAAGTGAAAAGACAAAAATAATTAATTCAAATACTTTCAAACCAAAAAGACATTGATCACTGTTTTCGTGAAAACTCAGATTGTAAAAGGGATTATGCTGTAACCAACTTGAAGTCTACTAATTTTAAGTGTTTAGCATTAAATAATTCAAGAAAAATATCTTGATCTTTATTTCTCCAACTGATCTCGCTGGGATGGTACGATCCCAAGGAACAAATGTTCCAGCCAATGTAGCTCAACTGTCATCAAAAAAAGCAAGTTCGACCACCATTTTCAGGTGGTACCTGTGGTAGGGAAAACGACCGATTAATAGAAGACACTTCATTACTAAAGGACCATTTCCTTTAGTTATAGTCATCAAAAAACACTAAACCTCAAGACTCATAAACTTTTGGTAATTCAAATGCATCATGATCACTGTAATGTATTTATACATCAATGAAATGAAATCCAAAAACTAAACATTTTCACTTGATCTGGTCAAGAGTAACTACTGTTTTTCGAATTGTCCATGAAATACCACTAAGTCAAACCAGATCTGTTCAAAAGAATTACATTTTACGCTATTAGAATATAAACATTCATAAAAAATCCTGACGTTAATGCGTTTCACCAACAAACAAAATGTCCATTGGACTAACCCAATTTATAATTATCAGTATGGGGTTATGGAGATTG